CTTGAACCATAATCACTCCCTTGATGTATATAAAGGTTTCAATCATGTCTTCCCTTTCTCTTCTTTCCTCCAGACTGTACATATTAAGTTCCTGGAATCACTCTTGATAAATTTTATTCCCCAGACCTTTCACGATTGTTGTTACCCATCTCTGGACTTGTTCTATGTTATCAATATCTTTTTGTAAGTGAGGTCTCCAGAACTGGACACAGTATTCTAAATGAGGTCTAACTAAAGATCTATATTGAGGAATCAGGACCTCCTTCCTCCTGCTGATGATCCCTCTAATGATGCATCCTAGAATTCTATTCCCTTTCCCCACTGCCTGGCCACACTGTTTGCTCATTTTGCAATCATCTGAAATAAGTACCCACAAATCCTTTTCCTCTGGAATGCTGGCCAACACTGTACCCCCAATGTTTTATTCTCTCAAGGGACTCTTTTTTCCTAGGTGCATTATTTTACATTTAGAAACATCGAACTACAATTTCCACTTCTTTGACCAATCTAGCAATGCCAAATCATGTTCCATGTTATAAATACCTCCAGGGATATCAACCCTTTGTGTCATCAGCAAAAAGCCATCCCGTACCCAACAAACCTTTAGTTATATCATTTACATATAGATTAAATGGAACAGGACCTACTACAGAGCCTTGTGGTACACCACTAGTGACTGGTCTCTTTTCTGAGTGAACTCCATTTACTACCACACTCTGGTATCTATCCTTTAGCCGCTGTATATCCACTGAACCTCCCAAGGGCTAAGTCCTAGCTTAGTCCACAGCACCACCCTGGTCCAAAACATTGGTAATATAGTAAAAAAATCCAATCAGATTACTCTGACATGATCTGCCCTAAGTAAGGCCATGCTGCTTTGGATCCAGCAAGTTGTGTGTTTTAAGTGATCAATGATCCTTCTTTTCAGGAGTGATTCCATTAACTTGACTACAACCAATGTTACATTCACTGGCCTGTAATTGCCAGCTTCTACCTTGCTGCCCTTTAGGCGATTTGCCTGAAGTGGGAGCGGGTACCTGTCAAATTCGGGTACTCGCTCCCCCCCACCCCCCCAAAGGTGCCAATCCTTAATGGGAAGCGGGGGAGCAGTCCTTAAAGCGGAACTTCCCCTTTTGGATGGAGCTCCGCTTTATCATAAGCTTTTTTGTAGGTACAAATACATAAAAAGAGTTTACTACTACATTAAAGTGTTACTAAACCCAGGACCCTACATTCACTATATCTGGTCTCCCACAGTAAACAAAACATGAGAATGCAATTATTTTAATATATATAAACAGCTAAATATTATTATTATTACACAGTATTTATAAATACCTTTTCTTATCAGCAATTAGAGCAGTCTTGTGACTTCTATCAGTGTTCAGCAGAGCACTGGTTACAGCTTGTAGGAGGTATCTTCATTCTGCTCTAGCAGGATGCAGAACCCCTGACCTCTGTCTGGAAAGTGCTGATTGGTCCTGTGCTGATCACATGCACTCTCCCCAAAAAAAAAAAAAAACAACCTCTCTAGCAATACACACCAAACTGAGCTTGTGCAGAGTGTCTCCAAACGATATGTCTTATCAGGAGATAAGAGGAGAACACTGGAAGAAGGGGAGGATCAGAGAAGACAGGATCAAACAGCCTTTTTACACAATTCAGATTAACCCCTTAGGTTCCACAGTGAGTATAACACGCATGCTTTACTGCATATACAGACTGATTTTACTGTTGTGGGTTTAGTAACACTTCAAGTCAAGAATACATATGTGACGATTGTGCGCAATAGAGACATGGACGCTGTATATGACAGTCATTTTGTTAGGCCTCTTCTATCCTCCCTCCTCCCTCTTGAAATGGAATTTGTAGCTGTAAGTTGAATGGACTTCTAAAGGGCCTCTTATCTTAAATAAAACACAGATAGATGAAGCTCCAGGGCAGTAAACCGCTAATTAGACTGGTGCAGGAGGTCTGTTTTGAAAACCACTTTCCTCTGCCGATCGTAAAATAATAACTCAGTCAGCCATGACCTGTTAGGCCTTTAGGGCTGTAGGATGCCATAAAACATCCATTCCACATGTAACCATTTCACATACAATTCATAAAGTTCAGCAGGAACTGGGCACATTAATATTAGGCATATATTTGGATAGATCATTTTAATATGAGTCAAACAAGGCCATACATGACTACAGTGGGGATCGAAAGTTTGGGCACCCCAGCTACAAATTTGTATTAATGTGCATAAAGAAGCCAAGGAAAGATGGAAAAATCTCCAAAAGGCAGCAAATTACAGATTAGACATTCTTATAATATGTCAACAAAAGTTAGATTTTATTTCCATCATTTACACTTTCAAAATAACAGAAAACAAAAAAATGGCGTCTGCAAAAGTTTGGGCACCCTGCAGAATTTATAGCATGCACTGCCTCCTTTGCCAAGCTGAGACCTTCCAGTGTCATGGATTGTTCTCAATCATCGTCTGGGAAGACCAGGTGATGTCAATCTCAAAGGTTTTAAATGCCCAGACTCATCTGACCTTGCCCCAACAATCACCACCATGGGTTCTTCTAAGCAGTTGTCTAGAAAACTGAAACTGAAAATAGTTGACGCTCGCAAAGCTGGAGAAGGCTATAAGAAGATAGCAAAGCGTTTTCAGATGTCAATATCCTCTGTTCGGAATGTAATTAAGAAATGGCAGTCATCAGGAACAGAGGAAGTTAAAGCAAGATCTGGAAGACCAAGAAAAATATCAGACAGAACAGCTCACAGGATTATGAGAAAAACTATTCAAAACCCACGTTTGACTGCACGATCCCTCCACAAAGATCTGGCAGACACTGGAGTTGTGGTACACTATTACACTATAAAGAGATACTTGTACAAATATGGTCTTCATGGAAGAGTCATCAGAAGAAAACCTCTTCTACGTCCTCACCACAAAAATCATTGTTTGAACTTTGCAAATGAACATATAGACAAGCCTGATGCATTTTTGGAAACAAGTTCTGTGGACCGATGAGGTTAAAATTGAACTTTTTGGCCGGAATGAGCAAAGGTACGTTTGGAGAAGAAGGGGCACAGAATTTAATGAAAAGAACCTCTGTCCAACTGTTAAGCATGGGGTTGGATCAATCATGCTTTGGGGTTGTGTTGCAGCCAATGGCACAGGGAACATCTCACGAGTAGAAGGAAAAATGGATTCAATAAAATTTCAGCAAATTTTGGATGGTAACTTGATGCCATCTGTGAAAAAGCTGAAGTTAAAGAGAGGATGGCTTCTATAAATGGATAATGATCCTAAACGCACCTCGAAATCCACGGGGGATTACATCAAGAGGCGTAAACTGAAGGTTTTGCCATGGCCTTCACAATCTCCTGACCTCAACATAATTGAAAATCTATGGATAGACCTTAAACGAGCAGTGCGTGACAGACAGCCCAGAAATCTCAAAGAACTGGAAGACTTTTGTAAGGAAGAATGGGCAAAGATACCTCAAACAAGAACTGAAAGACTCTTGGCTGGCTACAAAAAGCATTTACAAGCTGTGATACTTGCCAAAGGGGGCAGTACTAGATATTAACTCTGCAGGGTGCCCAAACTTTTGCAGACGCCATTTTTTTTTTTCTGTTATTTTGAAAGTGTAAATGATGGAAATAAAATCTAACTTTTGTTGACATATTATAAGAATGTCTAATCTGTAATTTGATGCCTTTTGGAGATTTTTCCATCTTTCCTTGGCTTCTTTATGCACATTAATACATATTTTTAGCTGGGGTGCCCAAACTTTGATCCCCACTGTATATTAGCACCTATGAGAGAGAAGAAAGCATTCTCTTCCCTCCTGGGTGACAAGGGTATGCTGTGTTTGGTATCCCTCAGGTTGAAATATAATTCTGAATATTAATCTGCCAGTTGCTAGAATACCACTTGCACATACTGGATGTTATTAATGTTAGTATAAAACTGCAGTGTGGACTTGGCCGTTACCTTTAGGGTCTGCCTAGCACCCATCTCCGAACTGCATGATTGGTCAGTTGTTCTCAGGAGACACCCCTTTAATATCAGAAAAAGACTGACAGGCCTTGACAGGAGAACTCTCGTTTAACATCAATCAGGAAACATCTAACGGACTTGAGAGCCACGGCAACCTTTTTGTTCAGACAATTGGACTCTGCTTAAACCAAGGACATTGCAAGTATTCTGCCTTCTGAACTCCTTTCTTCTATTTCTCTTTTTCATTATTGCTCTCTTTATTTATTTGTAATATCTTTTTCTGCAAATATTTTAATTGCACCATTTTGACCTTTTTAGTAATAAATCCTATTTTGAAAAGTGTTTGAAACTGTCTCTAATGCTTTTAATGCAAAATAAAGAATCCCTGTCTCTTAAAGAGTGCTACTATGTGTATTAATCCTCTGAATATATCTGTCTGTGGTGTGTATTACAGACGCTTATACTAATATCATAGTGTTATTGCTAAGATTTGTGAGTTTCCTCCTCCTCTGTAAAAAAGTGTTGGTAGCAGTGTGAAGGGTTAATTGCGTAATTAACCTGACCCAGTAACAATCGCTCTCAGGCTGCTGGCACATAGATTGTAGTCCTGCGAGCTGGAAAATATTTGTGCAGGGCGCAGCTGAGAGTGGCATTGTTACGCAAGTGAAAGCGCAGTGTGAGATCGGCTGGTCCTTCGGTCACAAGTTGATGAGAAGGGCAGGGGTCGGAAGCCGCATTCTGTCACAAGATACTTGAATAGAGTTTTTTTTAAACCAGGGTTTAAGCACCTCCTGCCCGCCATATAGTAATATGACGGACACAAGGCGGTTCTCTCGTTCTGGGAGGACATCATATGAGGTCCTCCCATTCTCAACGTGCATGCGCGGCTCCGGGAGCACGCAGCGCGGCGATCGGCAGTGCGCTGTGTCCCTCGGACACAGTGGATCACCGATCTACGGGAAGAGCCGAAGATGTCGGCTCGGTCATGTGATCAGCTGTGTCCAATCACAGCTGATCACATGTAAACAGGGAAATGCCGGTTATCGGCATTTCTCTCCTCACGAGCTGTCACGTTGACAGCTCAAGAGGAGAGGAGAGCCGGTAATCGGCATTCCTCGGAGGGGACATCTACACAGATCATCAGAGCACTGATGATCAGCGTGCCATGATGATCTGTGTAGCCCCAGCAGCGCCACCTGTCAGTGTCCATCAGTGCTAGCTCTGTGCTCATCCATGCTACTTGCCAGTGCCCATCTGAGCTGCCTTTCAGTGTCACCCATCAATGCCAGTCAGTGCTGCCTATCAGTGCCCGTCAGTGTCGCTTATAAGTGCCACCTAACAGTGCCAGTCAGTGCCACCTAACAGTGCCATATATGAGTGCTGCCTTTCAGTGCCCATCAGTGATGCCTGTCAATGGCCATCAGTGCCACCTACCAGTGCCTCCTCATCAGTGCCACCTGTCAGTGTCCATCAGTGCAGCCTATCAGTGCCCATCACTGCAGCCTCATTAGCGCACATCAGTGAAGGAGAAAAATCACTTATTTACAAAATTTTATAACAAAAACTAAGAAAAACCGTTTATTTTTCAAAATTTTTAGTGGTTTTTGTTTTGTTTAAGAAAAAAATAAAAAACCCAGAGGTAATTAAATACCACCAAAATAAAGCTCTATCTGCCACAAAAAAATGATAAAAATGTCATATGGGTACAGTGTTGCATGACCGCGCAATTGTCATTCAAAGTGCAACAGCGTTGAAAGCTGGAAATTGGCCTGGGCAGGAAGGGGGTATAAGTGCCCTGTAGGCTAGCAGTTAATGACAGCCCTACTCCAGGCTACTGGTAAATTTACCCATGCAGTAGCCTGTTTCATTTTTCGGTGCTCAGGTTTTCAAAGTGCTATTTTGGATCCTGAATCCCTGAACTGCCACAAAGAGATGTTTCCATTTTTCTCTTTACTTGCGTTCTCTCTTCTTTATTTCTACCCTTTTCCCCTACTTGCTGAACTCTTAATTTATCCCCCTTACTTCACATCAAAGAAATGGGAGACATGTTGTTTTTGCGTATACAACATATTTGACACTCTTTTCTTTTTCAATCAGACCATGATGGCCTTTTTTTATAGTTACTTATTGCAGACATGAGCTACCTTTCTACCTCTGCTGTTGGATATACGGCATGTAGATTTTGATGCTACATTGCCTATGTCATAACCGCTCCCCCCTCCACCCTATAGCAGAAGTACTACTAGAGGGTGGCAGGGCTGCACTGCTCGGTTCCGAGGGGGGACACCAAAGTAAATGGTTCCTGATTTCACATTACACTAACATCGTCTCCATATAGAGCCAATCTGGTTTATTACTTCTCCAATATACCACCGAGAGTTGGGTCAGTTGTGTCGCCTGATAATACCTATCAAAGTCCGGGTGTCCTACCCTACCCCTTGTCTTAGGACAGAAGAGGATCTTTTTAGCGAAGCGATGACCCTTGCTGACCCAAACATACCCAATTACTGAAGATTGAAATTTCTCCAACACCAATCGTAGGACAGGAATAGGGAGAGACCTAAAGTGATAGAGAAGCCGTGGGAGCAAGGTCATCTTAACTGAATGCAGTCTGCCCAGCCAGAAAAGATTTTGCTCCGACCAGTTCTGTAGATCTGCGTCAAGCATACGAAGAAGTGGTTAATTGACTTTATAAAGGGATTTTACAGTAGCCGTAAGCTGCACACCCAAAAACGGAATGTGGGTGTCACTCCACTCAAAGGGAAATGAATCCTGTAGTCGACTAATCAATCCTGCTAAAACAAAGACATTCACAGCTAAGGACTTACTAACCTCCTGCTGCTGACTTTAAAAGGATAAGTTCATCTTTTGTACCATTTTATACCCATACTCAGGATCTAACATGATACAAATGCACCAGCCCCCACATTTCCCCCCAGTCCCTGTTTTGACAGTGAGCGGGGATCTTCGCCCCTTGTTCGCTGTCATAATCTAAACAAAAAAGAAAAAAAAAGTGGCCATATGGGTTGGCTTGTAGTTCTCAATGAACTATCAAGGTGCTGTTGAGCTATCTAGGTAGTTCAGTGAGCTTTGCTGACAGAGTGTAACTGCCTGCCCATATCAGATGTACAGGCAGACAGATAGACAGTCTGTGGGACCGTGGCACTACACCCACAATCTGCTGATCGCAGGTGCAATTCTTTACAGGTTCTTAACAAAAAAAATAAATGCACATTTTTTTTTTACCTGCAAAAGATGTGCATTTATATATATTTTTTTTTTGTAAAAGTGAACGCATCCTTTAAAGCGGAGTTCCACTCACATTGTAAAAAAAATAGGTCAGCAGCTACAAAAACCGTAGCTACTGACTTTTAAAAAACAGCCACTCACCTGTCCCACGATCCTGCGGTGTCCTCCCTGCAGCCCGTTTCACCAGTCGTCCTGTGTTCGAGGTGCCAGCATCTTCAGTGTGGGCACCCGGCTGTGACAGCTTGTGGCTTCACAGCTGGGTGCCCACTGCGCATGCGTGAGTAGGGCTTCCCTACCTGAATGGCCCCTGTAGTCTTCTGGGACCTGTCACGTGTCCCAGAAGACTACGGGGAGGGAGGACAACTTCCGCTTCTGATCGTCTAGGCAATCGCAGCAGAAGTGGGAGCGGGTACCTGTCAATTTCAGGTACCCGCTCTCCAAAGGTGCCAATCCTTAACTGGATCAGTCTTTAAAGCGGAACTTCCCCTTTTGGGTGGAACTCCGCTTTAATATAAGGACACTTATCTTGTCCAGAGATCCAGCGCTGTCTTCCCCTGAGCCGGCTCTTCACTTGCCTTTGGGTCTTTAGTGCTCTGGCATCCCAAGGGAAACCAGCTGTGAAGCCATGATACACTTTGTGAGTGGTCCTGCAGTCTTCTGGGATCTGTGACATGTCCCAGAAGGGTGCAATAGAAGGAGGGGAGGGGGGTGAACTTCTGCTTGGGCAATCTAGATAGAAATGGGTCAACCCCCCCAAAAAAAAATTAGGTGGCAAATGTTAAAATGTTATTAAACCCAGGACCCTGCATTCACTGTATCTGGTCTCCCACAGTACACAGGACATAGAAATGCAATTATTTTAGTAAACAAACTGCTAAATACCTTTTCTCATCAGAAGTTAAAGCCGTCTTGTGACTTCTATCAGTGTCCAGCAGAGCACTGGTTAAAGCTTGTAGGAGGAGTTTTCATTCTCCCTTGATTGTCCTATGAGGCTGCATAACCCCTGCGAGCTGATTCACACATATGCAGAGCACATTGAAGCTCAGGTATCACAGCTAATTGACACAGCAGTTCATGTCAGGGTCTTATCCTGTTCACACATATGCGGTTTAGAAACGGTTCCCATAGAAGTCAATAACCTGTAATTTGCACCTGAACCGGACCGCACTGCTCAGAAATTGGACAGGACTCTTTTTAAAACCATGCTGCCAGTGCACCGGTCATATGTGAACAGGCCCCATAGGAAGAAAAGTATTTTCACATGTCATGGGGCTTGGATGCGGTTCAAACCACATATATGTGAATAGGCACTGAGCCTCTGTGTGGACAGTGCCGATTGGCTCTATGCTGATCACATGTACCCTCCCAAGAAAAAAAAAAAAAAAAACCTCTCTAGCAATACACACCAAACTGAGCATGTGCAATTTGCCTCCAAGGCTCTGTACTATCAGCAGGATTGGGGACAGTAGAAGAAGAGGAGGATTAGAGTATACAGGATCAAACATCCTTTACACATTACAGAGGATTAACCCCTTAGGTTCCACAGTGAGTATAACAAGCATGCTTTACTGCATATACAGACTGATTTTACTGTTGTGGGATTAGTAACACTTTAAAGGGGGGAGGGGCGGCAGAGAACAGACGTTCCCCGTTTGGGTGAAGTTCCACTTTAACTGTGCACCCCCCAGGCTAAACAGGCATTTAACCCCTGCAGTCTGGGAGGGGGCACTGCAAATGTGTTTTTGTCACCCCCCCAGTTTGGTTCCTTGCTGTACAAGTGTGCTGAAGTCAGCAAAGACTGTCAGAGGACTGTGTAGTGGGATGGTGGAGGACACACGGAGGGAGATAGGCTATGGACACAGCAGAGGAGTGGATGACAGCGGGCACGTACTGTACCATGGCCACTTACCGCCACTGGAAGCTCTCCCGTCTCCTGTCCCCCGCTTTACAGATGACAGTACCAGACCCTGCGAGGTGCCCTCAGCTCTCCTAAGAACAGGAACCAGCACGAGACTCATTCAAACTCAGCGCCGCGAGATCACACTCTACATCCTGATTGGGCAGTGCAGTCCTGTGTGCGCACGTGACGGCAGAACCAACCAATCGGCATCAGCAGCCGTGCACGTTGGAAGTGGTAACGGTTGTATCGGTTGTGCTAGGGATCGTGACACCTGACTGGAGAACGTTCTATCCGGGAAGAGTCTGCGCCGTGGAATGGACGCCGTGTCTGTGGTCAGCCATCTGAAGGACCTGGCGTCCGAGCCCCGGAATAGAGCCGCCATCGTCAGTGACAAGAGCTGTCTGGCGGGGCTCATCCTTCTTCTCAGCCACCAGGATGGAGCTGTGGTGGAGGGCGCTGTGCAGGTCAGGGAAGCAGCATGGGCTGGGATCAGGGGCTTCACCACCATAGGTACACAGAGCTTTACATCCTCTACATTCCTGGCACTGCTTGTCCTTGCACCAGTGACCCCAGTGCTGCAAGGCAGGTTGGTGACTAGGGGTGAGCTCAGGACTGAGCAGATGGTTGGAACCTACCTGAGTGAACCTGCCAGGAAGCTGTCACCTGTACTAGGCCAATCAGAAGTGTGCTAAGGTATGGTCCAGTACAGTGACAACGTCCTGGAAGGCTTGGTGAAGTAGGTCCCTAGTGGTGAGTAAGAGCAGCTTTACACATATCACTGTTACAGCCACTCCTCTGAAAAGTGATCCACAATAAGTCAGTGGTTTGCAAACTTTGGCCCTTTGAAAGCCCTTGGTGCACTATTCCTCAGACTGACACCAATAACAAGGCACTGTTCTTTCCACTGACACCAACGATAAGGAGCACTGTTCCTCCGTCTGATGCTAGCAATGGGGGGGGGGGGGGGGGCGCTGCTCCTTCCATTGACGCCAGCAATGGGGGGGGCTGCCTCTCCCACTGACGCCAACGTTGAGGGGGAGGGGCTTTGTTCCTCCCACTGACGCCAACGTTGAGGGGGGGAGGCATTGTTCCTCCCACTGACGCCAACGATGGGGGGGGGGGGGGGGGCGCTGTTCCTCCCACTGACTCCAACGATGGGGGGGGCGCTGTTCCTCCCCCCGCCAACGATGGGGGTGGGGGAGCGCTGTTCCTCCCGTCGACGCCAACGATGGGGGAGCGCTGTTCCTCCCGCCAACG